TCATCCATCTATGACATAATGATATGAGTGTTTAAGGATGTCACCTTCGTTGGTGAATTCTGAGGTGACTAAAGAGCCCGATACGGGACCGACAGTGCCGTCCACAGATGTTGCACGTGTGGAGGGATACACCTAGTGCGGGAGGGGCGGCGGCAGTGTCTTTCCGGCAATGGCTCTTGTTTGCCTCGGTATGCAGTCGGGCTAACTCGAAAGTATTAACACATTCTTGTGTGGTGTTCCTCCAAGCGTTACGGTGTGGAGTAATCGTCTCCGGGGTGAGGGGGCCGATTTGGCACTTTTTCAGGTTTGTCTTAAGACTATCCTTATACCTTTTTAGTTGCCTGCCAGCGTTACATTTCCTATTCGTTAGGGTGACTGTAAAGTAGCTCCTTCGCAGTCTACTGTCGTCCATGCGGGTAACATGGCCAGTGCAGCGTAATTGTTCATGGATAATATTATCCTCGTTGCTCCTACAGTTGGTGTCAGCAAGAATACCTGTACTGGCATTTGTTCTCTTGTCTTCCCAGCGAACTCGGAGGATGGAAAATAGACTACGTTGGTGAAAAATTTCAAGTGCCTTGAGGTGCCTCCTGTATGTGACCTATGTTTTGCTGCCATATAGCAAGGTGGGGCGGACCACTGTTCGATATACCTGCAACTTTGTATATAATTTAAGTTCCCCACAGCTGAAGACATGGGTACGGAGTCTGCCAAAGGCTTGAAATGCACATCTGATCCGATGTTGAATCTCTTCATCGATGTCCGAGGTGGTGGATAGGTGGGAGCCGAGACTCCGAAAGTGGGTAATATTAGAGATTAGTACCGTTAAGCTGGATGGATGGTGGAGGTGTGTCTGAACCAGGGGCAGTGTGAAAAAGAATCTGAGTTTTACGTACATTCACCTCAAGGCCGAAGTGTGCATATGCATCTGCGTAGGTTTTCAGGATCTCCTGTAGGTTGCGTTCAGTGTGAGCGACAAGGGTTAGGTCGTCTGCATACTGAAGTTCAGCAATGGAAACAGCCGATACCTTTCTTCCTGCCTGGAGTCGTCTTATGTTGAAAAGACCCATCATCTGGTAGTGGATGTCCACCCCGCTGGCTAAATTGGCACTGGTACGAGTAAGGAAGGCAGCCAAGAAAATGGAAAACAGAGTTGGTGTTAGTACACACCCTTGTTTTACCCACGTTTGGATGAGGAAACACTCAGACTGGGTGCCATTGTGCAGGACACTGCCGTTCATGCCATCGTCGAGTTGCCTCACAATGGCGATTAATTTTGGTGGGCAACCAAAACGGCTGAGGGTCCGCCAGAGGGCTTCCCTGTTGACTGAGTCGAAGTGCCTTGGTTAGGTCGAGAATGCCATGCACAGGTCACAATGCTGCTCTTTGCACTTTTCCTGTATCTGTCGGGCAGCAAAGATCAAGTCAGTAGTGCCACCTGATGGTCTAAAGCCGCATTCAGATTCCGGGAGCAAGTTTTCCGCCTCAGGAAGAAGTCTGTTCAGGAGGACTAGGGCGATAATCTTGTCGGCTACAGACAGCAGCGAGATCTTGGGGGATTTCCTCCTTTTCCCATATACTGTATTCTCCAAGAGATAGTGGAGACGGCTGGTAAGCAGAGATCCTCCTGTTTTATACACCTCGGCTAGGATTCCCATCAGGCCCTGAGGCTTTGTTATTTTTCATCTGTTTAATGGCAGTAGCAACCTCATCCAGGGTTAGAAGATAGCTGAGGTGGGTCAGTTCTGGATGCTGAGAGACCTGCTGGGTACTCAGCACATCTACATTAATGTTTCGGTTGAGAAATGAATGGTAGTGCTCTTTCCAGTGCTGAAGGATGCCTTATTCATCTTTAATTAGGGAGTTACCGTCGGATGAGCAGAGGGGAGGGGGGGGGGGGCTGTGCCCTGAGTTATTGGCCCATAAAATGTTTTAGTGGAATTGAAAAATTCGTGCATCGTGTGTTGATTTGCATGTTGTTCTGTTTCAAGTGCTTTATTTTTAAACCAATCATTCTTTAGATTGCGAAGTTTGGGCTGGGCCGCCACTTTCTTCTTGCAGAAGGTATCAGCTTTATTCGAGACTGAGGGTTGTTCTGCCAGTCATTTAAAGCACCACGTTTATCATCGACGAGTACATTGGTTTTCCAGGTCATTTTCATCAAACCAGTCCTTGTGTATTCTTTTGATCTGGCCGAGGGTCTCTCTGCAGATTTTTGTCATGACAATGTCCAGAATATCCCATTCGGCACTGGGACTTGGGTTATTTGTTGTCGAGTTGTTTATCAGTTCATGTTTAAGCTGCTCTGTAAAAATATGTGCTGGCGTTGGATCCTCCAGGCGCTTAGTGTTAAAACCTCTTCTGGAGGCTTGCCGCCTTCGCTGTTTTGGGGTGAAGTGAAGTGAAAACTTGGCTCTGACGAGCCGATGATCAGTGGCGCAGTGTTCTGACCCATGCATGGTTCGGGTGATGAGGACATCTCGGTGATCTTTTTCTCTGACAATGATGTAGTCAATGAGATGCTAGTATTTGGATCGTGGGTGTTGCCATGAACCCTTGAATTTGTAGGCCTGCTTAAACAAGATATTGGTAATAGTGAGGTTGTGTGCAGCACACTTGCTGGGGAGGAGTAGGCTATTGGGATTACACTTGCCTAGTCCATTTCCCTCTATGATTCCCTGCGAAATGTCAGCATCTCTGCCAACTCTGGCACTGAAGTCACCTTGGAGCATAACCTTATCTTCTCTAGGGATAGAGGTTAGCACTTTGTCAAGGTCGGCGTAAAAGGCCTCCTTGACGCCATCTTCTGCATCCAGTGTTGGAGCATATGCACTGATGAAGAAGGCATGACGTGAGTGATCCAGTGGGACTATGAGCCTCATGAGGCGCTCGTTGATCCCAACAGGCATTTCAGTTACCCTATATAGGATGCATTGGCGGATGGCAAAGCCAACTCCATAAATGTGGTTTCTCTCCACAGAAGGCTTACCCTTCCAGAAGAAGGTATAGCCAGACCACTGTTCTGTGAGTCGACTCTCGTCTGGGAGCCGGGACTCACTAATGGCTGCCAGCTCTTTTGCCACAAGGGCGGCTCTTCTTTCTGGATGCTCATTTGTGCTAATTTCCCTAAGGGTTCTGACATTCCATGCAGCGACCAAAAGAGGTTGTATAGTTTTTTTGCGTTTTGATATGTGATTTTGATTGTGATTTCGACAGCATAAGGAGCAGCTGCCCAGTCAGATTGGTTCTTTAGGCAGGCTATGTTTAAGGCACCTTTTCAAGCCCCCTCCCCATGTGGGGTGAGCAGAGTGGTTCCTCGTAAGGGCTGCTCAGTCGTACAGACAGGACCGGATTGCACTGCTGCTTAGATCTCAGTGCATAAACGATCATCTTATCTATGCCGCCCATGTCAGAGTTGTGACTAGAGACTCCTGGCAGTCATCTCTGTCTGTCCCCATCGCCACTCGTCCGTCGCCAAAGGACTTTTGGGGTTATAGGGGTTTTTATGATGATGAGAAGTCTGATGAGGTGGATGATGGCTGTGCGTGAGTTGATTTATGTGGTGAGGCATGAGCGCAGGCTGCAACCACACATCTTGGATCGCCCTTTTCCTGATCCAGTGGTGCAAGTGTTGAAATGACTTTGGAGAGGGAGAGTTTTAATGGACTGCCATTAGTCCAGTTTGTTGGGTTTCACCTTAGTAGTCTGTCCATTATGCATTGCCTTCATCTGCCGATGTAGTCGTTGGGTTCCCATGTTGGTCACCTCTTCCGCCTCTACCGCCGTTGGGGTGCTACTGGAGCTCTGTAAGCATGTCTGCCTGATGTAGGGCTCCACTGCAGATTTTACATTCGGGGTTTACTCCTGTAGCCTTATACCTACCAAGGTTAATCCGCAAGGCAGGAAAGCAGTGGTTGGTAGGCACCAGGACGTGTCCACATGCCAGTGGGCCTATGCGCCATCCTCTGGGGCTCACTGCTGCTGCGAGATCCCCTGCTGGTCTAGCCTGGGCCCACGAGGCACCCAGTTACCGTGTGTTGCCATGAGGAGGCACATAAGGAGTCTTGACGGTGAAGAGGCTGTGTACTGGCAGGGGAGGATTTATGCAAGTTGATTCTCTGTTCGCCACGAGGGCTAGCCAGCGGCGGGAGCTGGTAGCGAGAGGAAGCAAGCAGTGCTTGCACCTTAGCACTAACATAATACTGCCACACTAAACGCATTACACCACTCTGCGTGCACACACACACACACACACACACACACACACACACACACACACACAAACACACACACTTCCCTGCCCAAGTAAATGCACTCATTCTCTCGGTTGATATGAGTGAAGACTACTTGTATTGCACAGACTCACGGCGAAGGGTGTACACTTGTATTGATTATTGTCAGCTGAACATATCTGGACTGGTTGGTGTGCCGGGAGGCGGAGGATATGCCAGAAACAGACACGAGCTCGAAAAATCATATGGGTGTTTCGTGAGACATTTTTAGGAATTCAAAATTAAAACAAGAACGACAGGAAAGATAACGAGTTGGGGGACTGCGAGGAAAATAAAACAAGACAACGGGTAAGTTAAGAGCAAAAGGGATTACAAGAGAAGATGAATTTGAGTGGAGAATGACAGCGGCTTGCAGGGACTGGTTTAATATATTTGTAGAAAGGGTTGTGAGTGATGTGAAACATGTATGTGAACATAATGTGTGCGCGCAAACGATAAGGGGACGCGTGTTGAGCAGGCGTCTAAGAAAGATGTGAAGAGGATTTGAGAGACAGAGACAGAGGTCAATTCTTTCTGCGGAATTGTAACAAAGAGAAACAGAAAAGTGACAAAGGAATATGCCATTAATGGTAAGATGGTGGTGGTGAAGATTCCCTAAGCCAGACAGAGAAAGAAAACAAGCAAGATCCTAGACAAAGAGAGAAGACGGGGCAGGCATAGGGAAGGCACACGCGAGAAAAAAGACAGGACAGAGTTGGGCTACAGCGAGCGAGGTGGGTGTGAGGAGCTCAGTGTTGTGACGACCGTGGTGGTGACTGGACGTACTTACCCTTTAAGCTTAATGCTGGAGAAATTCCCACTCTCCAGTTACCTCTAACCCTCTGGTAACTATAGAACTATGTACCATCTCCACCTTACAGACCTGTGACATTTATTATAACGGAATGGCATTCTGTGTCCATTGAAAGGAAGATATACTCTGTATATGTATCCAGTGCACTCCTGAAAGAACAGAAGAAATTTCCAATTACACGTGTGTAAAAATAACTCTATACATGTAATGCTCTTGTGTTTGGTTGAACACGTCACGACAGCCGATGGTGACACATGCAAGAGTTATCTGTTAACACACACATAACCTGCCTACCTGCCCTGTGTAGACCTGTGGTTGTTTTAGTTTGTGGCGATGTGTCCAGCCGTGTCCTGATATAGTGAAGTGTTCAGTATGCTTGCGTGTATTAGAAAAGAGTAATTTCACTTGTGTCATAAAACATATTTTTTTTTACCTGTTAGTTATTATTACTGACAGCCAGGTATCCAGACTAGCTCAGGTAAACGGAGTGTTATAGAAGCTGTAAATACTAATAGCAAAACTAGAACAATGAGTTGTGTTATGGTGGGTGTTGTGTTATAGTGGTGGGTGTAGTGTTATGGTGGGTGTTGTGTTATAGTGGTGGGTGTAGTGTTATGGTGGGTGTAGTGTTATGGTGGGTGTTGTGTTATAGTGGTGGGTGTAGTGTTATGGTGGGTGTTGTGTTCTGGTGGGTGTTGTGTTATAGTGGTGGGTGTAGTGTTATGGTGGGTGTTGTGTTACAGTGGTGTGTAGTGTTAGTGTTCTGGTGGGTGGGTGCTGTGTTCTGCGGGTGCTGTGTTGCAGTGGTGGGGTGTAGTGTTATGGTGGGTGTTGTGTTAGTGGTGGGTGCAGTGCTGTGGGGTGTTGTGTTAGTGTGTTGGGTGTTTGTGATGGTGGGCGTTGTGCTATAGTGGTGGGTGTGGTGTTATAGTGGTGGGTGCAGTGTTATGGCTGGTGCTGTGTTGGCAGTGGTGGGTGTAGTGTTGGTGGTGGTGTTGCAGTGGGTGTGTTATAGTGGGTTTTGTGTGATGGTGGGCGTTGTGTTATAGTGGTGGGTGTGGTGTTATAGTGGTGGGGGTGTGGTGTTATAGTGGTGGGTGGGTGAAGTGGTGGGTAAAGACAGTGGTGGGGTGTAGTGTTATGGTGGTAAGCAGGTTACAGTGGTGGGTGTAGTGTGGAGGGTGTTGTGTTACAGGTGTAGTGGGTTTTGTGTGATGGTGGCGTTGTGTTGATGGTGTTGTGTTAGTGGTGGGTGTGGTGTTATAGTGTGGTGTGGTGTTATAGTGGCGGGTGTAGTGTTGGCGGTGGGTGCTGTGTTCTGGGTGGGTGTTGTGTTTGTGCAGTGGTGTGGTGTTATAGTGGTGGGTGTAGTGTTATGGTGGGTGTGGTGTTATAGTGGTGGGTGTTGTGTTATAGTGGTGGGTGTAGTGTTATGGTGGGTGTTGTGTTATGGCTGGATGGTGTGTTATGGTGGGTGTTGTGTTATGGCTGGATGGTGTGTTATGGTGGGTGTTGTGTGATGGCTGGATGGTGTGTTATGGTGGGTGTTGTGTGATGGTAGGTGTTGTGTTATGGTGGGTTTTAAGTTATGGTGGGTGTTGTGTTATGATGGGTGTTGTGATGGAGTTGTCTTGTGGTGGGTGTTATGTTGTGGTGACAGTGGTAGCCTTAGTGGAGGACAAATCCGGCGACTATCTGTGGCCCCACACTTTAGGGAGCCATAAAATATTACAAATTTTATACGGGTGAAGAGGCAACTATGGACTCACCTATTCCCAAAAGAATATTTTAAAATCTCCATTTTAACTATATTTTTCTAACCCTTTTCCTAATGCTTTACTCACCTTTCTTTTTGTAGTGACATTTTTTAGTGACACTTCCTCATAATATTTCAGCTACTTTTGAGGTGTACAGTCACCTGCACTTATACCTTGTACAGTGGCTGGCGCGTTTTGTGAGATGTGGCAACCCTGTGGAAAGTTTGTCTAGTATCTTTAGTCTAGTTACTATTATAAAGTTCCTAAGGGCCATTCCGGGAGTTTTAATGCGATATAAACAAACTCAGAGTTGCCACATCACACAAAATGCACCAACCACTGTACCAGGTGTAAGTGTAGTTGACTGTACACTAAGCGATTAGCGACATTCACAAATTTGGTCTGTCAACAGTCAAGTCAAGCGAGTGTTTATAATATTCATTAAAGGTCACCTTGTCTAGATACATTCAGTTTTGGATGTAAAATTAGGAGAGATTTAGTTATAATGGGGTGATTATAGACTTTGCTTCTAAGAAGGCGCGAAAAGGTACATTCCGTTCGATATATTATACAATAATCTGTCTCTTCATCAACATAACATTGAATCATCAAGAAACTGGCTATCGGCTTATGTTTTTATCATGATATCATGTAATGTTCTCTCTTTTATTTTGATTTCTGTATACGCACTGCACGAGCCTACGTTTGCTGGCAACAGCAGTTTGTTGTTTGTTATGAGTTGTGTTGGAGTGTAGTGTTGATATAATGTACTACGTAATATTATCCACTCTATTTGCAATAAAAGTGCATTGCACTGAATATTTTATGAGACTCACTGCAGCTTCAGGAGAATATAAGGAACATTTTAATCGGAAATGCCCGACTTGTTAATGTCATCAAATTTAAAACTCTAATGGCCATTATCCGAGTTCATAGGCTGTAGTCATGTTCACCGCTAAATTCATGAACTAGGCAATATTTCATGTTTATGCGCCAGTAAATGATAGTGGGATGAGGTTTTAAAGAAGTTTATGAAGATTTAAAGAATTCAAAAGAAGCTATCAAGCTCAATGAATGTTCGGTTATAATACAAAGTTTTGATACAAAGTAAGGAAGTGGAAAGAAGCACCAGAGGTAGGACCACATAGGCATCCTGATACAATAGTATCGGGAATCAAGTAAAATACATTTTATATCTAGAAAAATACAAGAACTCGGAAACCAAATACAAGACTTATCCAGAGGTAGACTGAGGGCCAGACCATATCCCAGTAATGAGTTTAATGAAGCTAACATAACAAATTATAAAACACAAGTTGCAAGATATTTAATGGGATATTGTTGGTGTAAGGGCTTGAGGAGCAAGACATTGAACAGAACATAATTAAATAAAAAATACTGGAGTTGAGAAAAAACACACCGAAGAATACATAGGCTAAGACGGAGATAACCACAAATTAAATTCTAATGAAAATAGACAGATGAAGAAAATTGGTGAGAGGGAATAAGGATCGTAAGGAACTTCATAATTATGGTCATTGGGCAGGGCCGGATTAAGACCCTTAGAGGCCCTAAGCACACTTAAAAGATTTTGGTGCCCCCCCCATATACTGTATATGTAATTCAAAATATAAACAATAATAAACCATAAAATAAAATGTTATTTTTCGAAATTAAACAAAATTTACAGAAAGATGGAAAATAATGTTTATTTTTGTATACGTCCACTTTATTTATAGGCCTAGTTGAAAAGTTTTCTCCTACTTTTTTTAATTGTAAAGTCTTTGATCAGATCCTCAAAACTAGTCTTATGTAACACATCTGCTTCTATACTTAGTAGAGATAAGGCATCCAGCCTGCCGTTGCATAGTTGTTCTGATGGGATTTTTAATATACTTCAACTTAGAAAATGAACGCTCAGCTGAGCAATTTGTGACCATTAATGTTAAAAATATACGAAAGCCAATATCAACATTTGGAAAGGCACACTCAATATTGTCTTCTACAAATTGATGTAATGAACTACAAACTCAGTTATCACCACCAGTCCACCACCATGTGCTAAATAAAAATCAGAAAATACATGCATAGTCAAAAGCAGCACTATACTCCGTTTGGCCATTTTCACGGGTTTCATGATATTTCATAAGCACTACCAATCCACAAAATTATGAAACATTAATTATATTATTTGTTGTCAGTGTCATGAAAATTGAAAGGAGGGGGGAGAGAGAGAAATAAAAAAACAGAAATCAGCTTACTTACAAAGTTACAATGTTAGCACGTGTATTGTTGGCACACTGAATGCTGAGTGAGCTACTGAGCGCCACTGCACTCACTCTCAGACTCAGTGGACGACTGAACGGGACAGCCGACATGACCAAGGCGGCCGGGCAAGACAAGAACGTTCACGTGAGCCTCCGTGGACCATGGGCAGTTACCAGATCCTAATTTTGTTGTGCTGTATCCCCAAGATTAATGTATATCATTAACTTCCATAATTGCTATTTATTATTATTATTGTATATATATATATATATGTATGTATTTTTTCATTTAATGTGTGGGCCTCTTTTTGTGAACCCTGGTTCAGCTGCACCATTTGCAGTTTTGCACCATATGGTCCATGGTCCATGGTAAATCCGGCTATGGAAAATTTCTGTGGTGCCCCCCTTCCCTTGATGCCCTAAGCACGTGCTTATTTTGCTTAATGGTTAATCCAGCCCTGTCATTGGGAGATAACGTAGAAGGTTAAATAAGAGTTTCTACAAAAGAAATACTAAGAGATAGAAGGTGATGACAGGAAACATAACTGTCTAGAATTTTACAGAGAAAAATATGAATGAACAAGAAAAGGGGACATAAATGGAATAAAAAAGATCTTTTTAAAGTCAAAAGAAAAGAAAAAATGGGACAGTATATGTAGACGACCTGTACAAAAATTATGAGAGTGGAGTTAACGAAAAAAAAAATGAAATGAAAACCAACCTTTCAATTTTGGAGACAGATTGTTGACATATGTGATGATAATATTAATACCGTACTTAGGCTTGTGGGATTGATCAGCCTCCAACAAAATATACAAAACGAATGGACGTGTATGAGATTTTGTTTGAATTAAATAAAAATAAATTTTTTGAGCAAAGAAGACCTTTCCAGGGAATTAAAAAAATCATTATTTGTTCTTTTACTTAATTAAACACAGGAGGAGAATTAGTTTAATAAAACATTCTGTTTAAACTAATTTTAAATGGAATAAAACGAAAATAGACAG